GGCTCGTGGACCCGGAGTTTCACACGTAGCCTCTGCGAAACATAAATGTGCTGTGTTGTGCTTCCAGCTACCCCCATCCTAAAAATCATTCACTGAAACCACATTTAAACATCCCCATTTAATCTTGTTGAAGGCACAAGACTAAAGAAGGGTCCGGCTCAGCGATACGAACTTTACTAGCCCCATACCCTCTAGTCTAATGGATCTCAAAGCATGGTCAGTAGACCGCCGGTCTATCCAAATCTTAAAATGCACGTTTCCAGCCATGTTCCAAACAAACAGATCAAAAACGCTGAGGATGAAGGCGCCTGGGTGGCTCAGCCGGTTAAGCGTCCGACTTCGGGTCATGATCTCGCAGTTTGTGAGTTCCAGTCCTGCACTGGGCTCTGTGCTGACAGCTCAGGGCCTGGAGCCTGCTTCGGATTCTGTGTGTGTGTCTCTCGCTCTGCCCCTCCCCTGCTCGTGCTCGGTCTCTCTCTGCCTCTCAAAAATAAATAAACGGTAAAAAAACAAACAAACAAAAAAAAACCCTCTGAGGATGAGCTCCTCATACACTACAAACACTGCAAATAAGTATTGCTTTACAAGAGGGTGCGGAGGGCTCTCTTCCCCTCCTGCTCCAAACAAGCATCATCTGACCATGAGGAACACTAACTTGCTAGGGCCACAGAATTATTTCTTTGAATAGAGCGGTGGAGTTTAAATCTCTTACATCTCCTCTCGCATGTGTACTTCACTTGCTTTCACTGGCCTGCTTTTCCTTTAGAAATGCTCTCTGGTTCTGCTCTCGACCTCTCTATTGTCCTTGGTGGACATGGCAAGATGAACTTGGTGCCTTGGTGCTTAGGAGGAAACGGACTTTTTGCCTCCCAAGCAGGGAACAGAGGCAAGGAGACAGGACTAAGCCACTCAATATCCCCTCTGGTTTGCCCCCAAAGGGCTCCTTGCAGCTCATATGTGGTACCTTTAAGCTCCCAGGGGCTCAAGCAATAGTTCTCAAATTTGACCCACAGGTGACCTATATCCAGATCACTGAGCAGCTGGGTAAACACGCCGATTCCCAAGTCTCCTGCAGAACCTACTGAATACTCATCTCCAGCAAGGGCTTGAGAAGCGGTCCTGTTAACAAGCTCCCCGGGCGCTTCTTAGGCACAGAAAGTTTGAGAACCGCTGAGCTCCAGGTTCAACAAAAGAGAATACCCTCTCTAGAGCGCCTTCGAGAAATTCATAGGAACCAGGGGAAGCCGCTGGCTCATGCTGCGGGGGCTCCCGCCCCCCTCTCTTCACTTCCATACTGGCACAACTTGTGCAATTCAGCACCGACCCATTTAAAATAACCGCAGACTCTGTTTTTGCTAGAATTCAAATTAATCTGCCATTAGGACAAGGAGAAGTGAGAAACGCATAAACTCCAAAGCTGTAGGCTAGCAGAGTCCTTAATACCATCAAAACGCAGATCAGTTTCATCCCCAGAAAGCTTACAATTATTTGTCATACAACTTCCATTTTAAATTAATCTTCCAGCGTAACCAGGGAACGCCTCCCTCAGTGGAGCTCTGGGCTCCGGGTAGCCCTTCTATGCTTTCGTACACAGCTCATCAGCCGCCTCTCCAAAGCGGAATGATATTGCTCACCACCGTGTGGCAAAGAAGGCTCTAAAACAGCATGACAATTTTATGCTTGACTCAGGTAAAATCATAGCTCTCTTGAGGGGAATCTGCTCTTCAGACTCACCTCTCCTCTGTTCCTGCCATCCTCAATCCCCCCTGGAGGAACTTAAGGCTCTTATACACTCGATTACACTCTACTGATTTATAGTGCCAAACAGCCATTCACACAAGGGCTCTCCATAAACATTACTGGATTATGCCAACTCAGGTGATTGATTCTGGACCTCTTAATGTGCCGCCCCTCTAAAGACACAACTTATGTATCCAGTATGATCTGAGCTCTTCACACGAGGCTCCCCATCCTCACCTTCCACCGACTGATTTGAAAACAAGACCGTAAGTTAGAAGAACCAACTAGAGGGGATGATAAATTATAAAGCGGGGCAACAGGTGAAACATTACAGATGACTGAAGGTCTGGCAATCACACACAGCAAGGACAATCAGTACGAAAAGGAGAATAACTCTTTGGATGATAGAAAATTTGCTTTTACCATCCTCTGAACCAGAGCTTCTTAAACTTTAAGGTGCCTACGGATTACCTGGAAAATCTACCTGGAACGAGGGTGCTGATCCAGGTAGGCTGAAACAGAGTAAGAGATCTCAGCCTCCTAACAAGCTCCCAGGTACCACTAACACCGCTTCCGATCAAGCGCTGTTTATATAGTATAGCGGTGGAAAGCAGCATCGGCATCACCTGGGAGCTTGTTACACGACAATCCCGAGCCCATCCCAGACCTAAAGAAAAAGAATCCTGCAGCACCTGAGTGGCTCAGGCAATTGGGCGTCTGACTTCGGCTCAGGTCATGATCTCTCAGTTCATGAATTCAAGCCCCATGTTGGGCTCTGTGCTGACAGCTCAGAGCCTGGAGCCTGCTTCAGGTTCTCTCTCTCTCTCTCTCTCTCTCAAAAATAAATACATATTTTTAAAAATTACAAAAAAAAGAAAAAGAACCCTTTAATCAACAAGGTCCCGGGCACTTAGCATGCACATTAGAGGAGGGCATGAGCACTGGGTGTTACCTGTAAGTGATGAATCACTAAATTCTACTCCTAAAATCAGTACTACACTCTATGTTAACTAACTGGGATTTCAATAAAATTTTAAGTTTTTACAAACATAAAAGAAAATGCACATCAGAGCAAGCTGACATACCGTCTTATACTCACTGTGAATCAGAATCATGTGGGATCTTTTTTAAAAAAATCCAAATGCCTAGGCCTTACAGCAGAGATTCTGATTCAGCTGATCCAGGGCATTTGATTAGTCCTAGGTTTGTTTGTTTTTAAGCACACCCAGGTCGTTCTAATAAGCAGTCAGTGCTGAAAACCACCGAATTAAAAATACGACACTGGGAGGGTGTCTGGGTGCCTCGGTCAGTTGAGTATCTGAGATGAATACTCAACTCGGGATGAATTTCACGGGATGAAGCCCCAAATTGGGCTTTGGGCTGATAGCCAGAGCCTGCTTGGGATTCTCTCTCTCTCTCCCGCTCTCTGCCCCTCCCACCCACTCTCTTGCTTGCTCTCTCAAAATAAATAAACATTAAAAAAGATCTATCCCCCTGGGAGGAGGGAAATATGGAGTGACTCCTAATGGGTGAGGAATGTGGGAGGATATGAAAACATCTTAAAAGTAATTATGGCAAGGTTGCATAATTCTATGAATACACTAAAAACTATTGAATTGTATACTTTAAATGGGTCAATCCTTTGGTACGTGAATTATATCTCAATAAAACTATTACATAAAAATTTAAAACTTGAATGACTTTCCTATTTTAAAATAAATAGTTCCCAATGAATAACAATGAAATGGAATTATTTTCTATCCTAGAACAGTGGCCCAAGAGTTTGAACTTCTTTAAACACACACACACACACACACACACACACACACAGATGTTTATATGACTCATCTAGAAATATTTAAAATCTGCTCATCTTCGTCTTAGGTTCAATTCTGGTTATGTAATGGATGAAAGAGAAACCAGAAATGAAAACATTGTTATCTCACAGAGCACCACTATGTTTAAAAAAAAAAACAGAAAAGAAAAAAAATCATATTTATCAATTTGAAAAAGTTTACACACCCCAAGTTTCCAGAGTATTTTCAAAAAAACAATTTTCCTTTTGCTTCCCCAATTTAAAAATAAATTAATTTATGAATTAACTCATAAGTTAGCAATGAATTCACTAATTCATTGTACTACATTCTTCCAAATTTTCTGTATGTTTGAAGATATTCAAAAAACATGTCAAGAAGAAAATACATAAAATGAAAATCTGACCTTGTTAGAAAACTGGCTTAAGAAACTCTCAATAACGTACTCACAAAAATCAAAAAGATCATAAGTAGCACTAAAATTTCAGAAAAGATCATTGTAATACAGGAGACACTTTTGGCTTATTATCAAAAGCAAAGTACCAGAAGTATATGTAACAGGTTTCAGTTGGTATTTTGGAGACTCTCATAGCTTCTGATAGCTGTGAGGTCAAATGCTCAAAACTACAGGTGCTATATGCTCAAGCCAATGACGGTTCATTAGCACCTGACTTATTTTCCCTGTTGGATCACCATGTAAGCCATTTGCCCCCCCAGAACCACTGCCCTTGTTTATGGTCCCATGTTCTCATTCTTCTGAAACAGGCATATTCCAGATGCATAACTGAACAGAGTTCCTGGGGCCCTCTATTCACTAAGAGACGCTCTCTTAAGAAATGGCTTTCTGGGACCTTCAATGCAACGGTTAGGGTCACCTTCACAAGTAAGTATGATGCCGTCCCTTGTCCAAACTCCTCAATAAAATACAATGTATTTCACTGTAATTGTTACTACCTTCTATGTTGCTATGTTCTTTTTAACACGGTTCTACCATGTTACATTATATACAGGACAAAGAAAAGGCAAATCAGTGCCCCTAACTACCAACCTTGCCCTGGGTATTAACCTTTAAATGGCCTATTCCTTTTTAGAGTGAGCAAGTTTACCCTCCTACCTAACCCAAACTCCTCCTGCTTTATGTACATTCACTCAATCAACTCTACAGTTTTCACAGTATTGGGAAGATGGTTACAATTTTCCAGAGCAGAAAGAATTTTGGGTAACAGATTCCAATTCCAAGGAAGCAACCCTGAAACCCACAATGGTGACGTCGGCATGTTCTCAACTCTGCCTCAATCTTACGCATCTTTGAAATACTAACTTCCTGAGAGGTCAAGACCCACAATCACTGCCGAATTAAATAACTAGTTCTTAAAAGATTAGCATATCTGTTCATAATTTAGTTAACAAGTCACACGCATTTTGAAGAAAGAAAAAAAGGCATACCTTATAGTATATAAATTCTGAATATTCTTCTCCCCACCTTGTCCTTCCTTTAGAGCTTGCATTTGCAATAACTTCATAATGGCTTTTAGCAAGCCATGTGTATTCCTGTAAAGAAACATAACAACGTGTTCAATGCCAGAGATATAAAGTGAATATTCTAATCAGGCTCTTAACCCTACCATTTTTAAATAATTGAACACTTGCCACCCACACTAAACAGAAACCACCCACACGCACCCACCTCTTTCTACAGCACAGCCAAGAGGCCGAGAAGTCGACAGCTCTCAGGCAACATATTTAAAAGAGGACTGGAGCCAAAGAATCAAACCACCAGCCTCTCAATCACCTCCCTACACACCCTTGGGGGGGGGGGGGGGGGTACCAATCAGGAAAAAATAAACATCAGCCCACATAATTGCAGGCAGTGACCACATCAGTTACCCATGCTGAATAATTAAGTCCTTCATTTATAAATATTAGGAGACCATGGATAATAACCAGACATATGAAATGGATTAGCCACTCAAAAAAATGGGCCAGGGGACCATTCGGGGCAAATAACCCCCAATAAAATAAAATTAATGGGAGTGGGGAATAAAATCTTAAATTTTTCCTTTATTCTCTCTAAGAGGTAGGAGGATAATATATCAAAAAAAAAAAAAAGAGAGAGAGAGAGAGAGAAAGAGAAAAATAGAATAGCCTGCCCTTTTTATTTTTTTCTTGCTATTAATTTTTTTTTAATTGTGAAATGTGATCTTTTCTAGTTTTATTGAGGTAAAATTGACAAATACAATTATAGTATATTTCAAGTATACAATGTGATATGTGCATACATTAACTTGATTATGGCAATCATTTCATAATTAACACATCCATCAACTCACATACTTTTTTTCTGATGAAAATACTAAAGACCTACTCTCAGCAACTTCAAGTATACAATACGTTATTGTTAACTGTAGTCAACATGCTATACATTAGATTATCAGAACTTACTCATCTTATAACTGGAGTTTGTATCCTCTGACTAACCTCTCCCCATTTCTCCCACCCAGATGCTGGCAACCACCAGTCTACTCTTTCTGTAAGTTTGGCTTTTCTTTTTTTTTTTTTTTTTAAGTAGGTTCCACACCCAGTGCGGAGGCCAACAGGTAGGGGCTTGAACTCACGATCAAGACTGAGCTGAGATCAAGAGTCAGACACCTAACCGACTGAGCCACCCAGGCGCCCCTTTTTTTTTTTCACCTTTTAAGATTCCACATACTAAGTGTTACCTAGTTCAGTATTTGTCTTTCTCTGGGTTAATACGTAGCATAATACCCTCCAGGTTCATCCATGTTGTTACAAATTAGCCTGCCCTTTTAAAATAAGGTTTTCTTGGGGAATAAAAAAGAAATCTTAGAAATAAAAAAATAATTGCTTGTTAAATGGGGGGGGGAACAGTATTTTTTAAATCATGGTTGTTAATATTTATGGAGCATCCACTGTAAGCTAAGTATATTCCTAAGCGCTTAACATGTATTATGTAATTTACTATCCAGAATATGGTAGGTTACAAGTCACTGTTAACTTTATCTTTAGGCTAGGGCAAGACTTGGACTTAATTCATTGGTATCATTTGGGGCAATTATGTGAGGTGTTATTTAGTGTACTCTTTTATGACATTTAAAGTTTTCCAGCTGACAAGAGGTTTGTCCACACTGTCCAATACATCAGCCGATAGCCACATGTGGCTCCTGACCACTTGTAATGTGGCTCATCCAAACTGAGACGTGCTACATGTATAAAAGACACACTGTGGTTTAAAGATTTAGGAGACAAAAAGAATATAAAATATCATGTGTAATTTTTTATATTGACCGTACATTGAAATAATATTTTCGATATATGGGGCACATACTATGTCATTAAAATTAACATCACCTGTTTCCTTTTACTTTTTTTTTTTTTCCAACGTTTATTTATTTTTGGGACAGAGAGAGACAGAGCATGAACAGGGGAGGGGCAGAGAGAGAGGGAGACACAGAATCGGAAACAGGCTCCAGGCTCTGAGCCATCAGCCCAGAGCCCGACGTGGGGCTCGAACTCACGGACCGCGAGATCGTGACCTGGCTGAAGTCGGACGTTTAACCGACTGCGCCACCCAGGCGCCCCTCCTTTTACTTTTTTTTTTTTTTATTTTTTATTTTTTTTCAAACGTTTATTTATTTTTGGGACAGAGAGAGACAGAGCATGAACGGGGGAGGGGCAGAGAGAGAGGGAGACACAGAATCGGAAGCAGGCTCCAGGCTCTGAGCCATCAGCCCAGAGCCCGACGCGGGGCTCGAACTCACAGACCGCGAGATCGTGACCTGGCTGAAGTCGGACGCTTAACCAACTGCGCCACCCAGGCGCCCCTCCTTTTACTTTTTAATGCAGCTATGAGAAAATTTTGAATTGCATATGTGGCTCACAATTGTGGCTCACATTTCCTTATTTAATAATTTGCTTTCGATGTGATTGGAGTTCTAGAGAAGACAGATAACAGCTCTATGATTTTTTTTATTGATAATATAGTTAACATACAGTATTATATTAGTTTCGGGTCTACAATATAATGATTCAACAATCCTATATACTTCTCAGTGCTCATCAAGATAAATGTACTCTTAGTCCCTTAAAGGATTTCACCCATCCCCCCCACCCACCTTCCCTCTAGGAACCATCAGTATGTTCTCTGTATTTAAGAGTCTATGTTTTTTTTCGTTCAGCTTTTTTTCTTTCTTCATTTGTTTCTTAAATCCCACATATGAGTGAAATCATGTGGTATTTGTCTTTCTCTAACTTATTTCACTTGGCATTATATACCCTCTAGGTCCATCCATGTTGCTGTAAATGACAAGATTTCCATCTTTTTTTACAGATGAGAAATATTCAGGGTGTGTGTTTTATTATATCTTCTTTATCCATTCATCTATGGGATGGACACATGGGTTGTTTCCATATCTTGGCTTTTGTAAATAATGCTGCAATAAACACAGGGTGCAGATATCTTTGCTAATTAGTGCCTTCATATTCTTTCAGTAAATACCCAGTGGTGAAATTACTGGGTCATATGGTAATTGTTTTTAATTTTTGAGGAAACTCCATACACACCTATGATTTTTAACCAATTTGGGTCACCCATCCCTAAAAGCAGTAGAATCCCAGAGAAAAGCACATACATCATATATATGCATTTAATTCACAGAAAACTAAGGCTAATAAATGAACTCCAGGTTTTTTAAATTTTTTTTTTTAAGTTTATTTTCTTGAGAGAGAGAGACAGAGTGTGAGTGAGCGAGGGACTGAGAGAGAGGGAGACACAGAATCCAAAGCAGACTCCAGGCTCCGAGCTGTCAGCACACAGCCCAACAAGGGACTAGAACTCACAAACCATGAGATCATGACCTGAGCCAAAGTCAGACGCTTAACTAACTGAGCCACCCAGGTGCCTCTGAACTCGGGTTTTCTAACCTTTAAGTTAAATCTTGTTTGGTCTTATTTGTGGATCCAGACTTTACTGTGTGGAAAATTAAGTCTGTACTATATTTTAAGCAAGCATGTAGCATGAATAGATTGTAAGTTTTGAAAAATAATGGTGTCAATCAAATAACAGATGCATTCAAACAGTAAATTCAATTGAGTAATTATTTAAATTATTCAAATATTTCAAGTGGCCTGAGAGAGATGGTTTCAGATTAATTTTTATTTAAATTCTGGCTTTAATTCTAATTAGCTAGGGAATGTTGGGCAAGACTTGTAACACCTAGAAACCACAACATCCTCATCCATACAATCTAGAATCATAAGCCCATCTCTTGTGTTGTTACAAAGAATAAATGAGAGTATGTCAGTAAAGCACCCGGTTGTTTTTTCAATAAATTGTGGTAATCTAGTACTTGTAACCGTACCATAAAGATTGTAATGTTTTCCCCCTTTACAGAGGAGGCTATATAAACCCAAGGGTCAGAGTTCATAAATGCTCAAGCCTAGAATATGCCTAAAACTAACTACAAACCCAAACCTACCCTAAATCCTAGTATTTTCCATCTGTCCTCATAAAGACAGCCATTGTTTTCTGTATCTGAGGTCTTGTTTTCAGCCATTGTTACTCTGTCTCTGAGATCTGCTCTTAAAAAACTATATTTTGGGGGCGCCTGGCTGGCTCAGTCAGAAGAGTGTGCAAATCTTGATCTCAGAGTTGTGAGTTTGAGCCCCACATTGGGTATAAAGATTACTTAAATAAATTTCTTAAAAAACTGAAAAATACAACTAAATTACAGGGTGCCTGGGTGGCTCAGTAGGTTAAGCGTCTGACTCTTCATTTCGGCTCAGGTCAGGATCTCATAGTTAGTGAGTTCGAGCCCCCTATGGGGCTCCAGAGCCCGCCTGGAATTCTCTCCCCCTCTCTCTCTGCCCCTACCTACTCATGCTCGCTCGCTTGCTCTCTCTCTCTCAAACTAAACTTAAAACAAATTTTTTAAACGAAATTTCTATTGAATTCTATATGATTGCAGAAAGAGGTTACAATAATCGCTTGATTAGTGCTGAAAATCAAAATGGTGAAATAGTAGAAAACCATAACCACTAGAGAAGCAAAAATCAAAAACAGGATAGAGGGGCGCCTGGGTGGCGCAGTCGGTTAAGCGTCCGACTTCAGCCAGGTCACGATCTCGCGGTCCGTGAGTTCGAGCCCCGCGTCGGGCTCTGGGCTGATGGCTCAGAGCCTGGAGCCTGTTTCTGATTCTGTGTCTCCCTCTCTCTCTGCCCCTCCCCCATTCATGCTCTGTCTCTCTCTGTCCCAAAAATAAATAAACGTTGAAAAAAGAAATTTAAAAAAAAAAAAAAAACAGGATAGAAAAATTTTTCATTGAATTTATATCTCCAAATTAAAAAGGCCACCAAGTGCTAGACAAGATTCCTGAAAAAATTAATTGCTGACATTTCTCAAATCCAAAGACAAAAGGAAAATCCTATAAACTCAGATTTTATAAAATAAAACATATAAAATAGAGACCACTAGACTGACATCATGTCTAATTTCGCATCAGCATTCTCATCTGCAACGGGGATTGAAGAAATAT